TGGGTGGCAGTGGAAGGAGCATCCCTCCAGGTTCGGAGGAGCTCAGGTTTAACAGTAGAGTTTGGTTGAAAAAAGAAAAAAAGGTGTTTTTGAACAATTTGTTTGATTTTCTAATATTTAATGGGGTGAAATTGACAACCGTTTGTGGGATGGAAATTTTTTCCAGCAGTGAATGCAGTTTTCGTACAGGAAACTCCATTCAGTTCCAAAATCGAATGTTGAAATCAAAATGTAATTTCTATGAAGTCTAAAAAGTCTAAGACTTCTATAAAGTCTATGATGGCATTATCCAATGTTCTGAGCAGATTTTTCATATGAACCTTTGTACAAAAACCTACCAGTGTATAGCCAGCTTAAGACTACCCTGTTCAGGAGGTGACAACGCTGCATTTCACTGCAGAATGAACAGTGTTGTCACTCTTCTACTGGAAGTGGAACAATAACAGCTCTATTGGTAAGATTAACAGGTAATAAAACCATATTACAGGGGTCACCCTTTTGCAGGAAGTGGAACAATAAGATGTACTGGTCAGCTCAACAGGTAATAAAACTATATTACAGGGGGACCTCAAATACCAAAACCTGCCGTGGTAATGCTACTGACAATCGGCATCGTATGCAATTTCAGATTTCGCCCCATAGTTACACTTTTAGCGCCATCAACAAACAAAAAGGAAAATATCAGTCTCTGTGGATTGTCATGACTTGGAAGACTTCCTCCGTCAGTTCTTTTCTTCCCAGAATCCTTTGCTCAGCCGCCCGGGTCCAACAGCTTTGCCTTGAATTAAAAATTTAGTTTTCTTCAAGCATATATGTGTTTTGCCTATGTACAACGCCAAAGGCGGGCCTTCTGTTAAAGAGTCTTTCAAGTAGAAACGTCAAGATTAAGAAAAAAAAGAAAAAAATTTAAAAAAAAAAAATCGACAAAACCTCGTCCGTGTCGAAAAAGCCTCATCGTCCAAGTGTCAAAAGGTCGGGCGAAAAGAAAAGCGTCAACTGGTATACAAAAGCCACCGGTCTGTACGACAGTCTGAATCGTAATTCCAACAGAAGGATGTTACTTTTTGTGTACAGTTTGCTTTCCCTCCTCGATAGAAGGTCTATACTGGCCATCGCACCCCAAAAAAAGTCACAAGAAACAACAAAAATAACATAAATAGGTTTACAAAAGCTGGTGTAAAGTTCATGATTGAAGGTAACACACGGAGGGGCACAGCATGGAGGAGGAATAAAGCCCACAAAAGGAGGTTCAGGGTAAAGTGTAAGATGGAAGGATATAGCAGAAAGGACTAGAAACCTCTGAGGGTTCCCACCGCTATCTGGGCCACCATATACAGCACAATGTCATCGTACAACCTCTGTACCATCAACTTTACATTCACCAAAGCTTTCTAATATTAGGGGGGCTACCCCATTGTAATATAAGGGGCTACCCAATTGTAATACGAGGGGCTACCCAATCGTAATATGAGGGGCTACCCGATTGTAATATAAGAGGTTACTCAATTGTAATATAAGAGGCTACTGAATTGTAATATGAGGGGCTACCCAATTTACCCAATTGTAATATGAGGGGCCACCCAATTGTAATATGAGGGACTACCAAATGTACCCAATTGTAATATGAGGGACTACCTAATGTACCCAATTGTAATATGAGTAATTAAGGGAAGGGGTGTGAGAACTCACATGCATAGAAGGGCCTTCATTGGTACTTCAGGCACAGACCAAATAATCGATGTCAGGGAACTAGGAATGCTACACCAATGTATTCAAATACAAAGGGTAAGTCCATCATAAAAGTTGAAAGCTACATTATACAGATCCCCTGAAACCGTGTTGGCTGTAGAACGTGGATTTGTACGGTGAAAAAAATGCTTTTTGGACTCTGCTCCCACTACATCTATTTATCTGACAAGGCTTCTAGAATTCCCCTTCTCTGCTAATTAAAACAATGTGTTGCTGTTAAAGATTTTCTCTCACTTCCTGTCTGATGAAACGGTTGTCACCATGACAGTAAAAGAGTGCAAATCTCTCAAATGGGGCCCAGGATAGCTGGAAAAAAAAACAAAAACGGACGGGTTCCTATCCTGCCCACTTTTATCCAAAA